TTGCGATCCCTTGAGAAGAGATGAGGAGGTAGAAAATGGCATTAAACTATCTTGCACCGTATTTACAACAATGATGGCTAAACCCCTATTATTGCATATTTTTGAGTAGAATTTTTTGGTTTAATTTGTAGAAAGCTGAGACTCTTTATTACAGCAGACTGTGTAAGGCTATGATGTTAGCTGTTGCGTACGCTGCAAATATTGGCGGCACAGCTACACTGACGGGAACTGGGCCCAATGTGGTATTTGGTGGACAGGTTAACAGGCAAGAAACTCGACTGATGAGCTCCTTGTGGCCTTAACTGCAGCAAAATAGTTGATATAGAATAGAAATGCTCATGCTTACAGTAATACCGTAAAAAAAATTCACTAAAGCGATCTTGATATGATGGACAAAGAAAATTTGTTGAAATAAATAGACCTTGTGAGTTTCCTTAGCGCCGCCATCTTGCCTTTTGTGACGTCACTCAAATGTTTGTTTTGTGACGTAACTCAAATGACGTCACAAAACAACCTTACGAGTTTCCTTAGCGCCGCCATCTTGCCTTTTGTGACGTCAATCAAAAGTTTGTTTCGTGACGTNAACTCAAATGACGTCACAAAACAACCTTACGAGTTTCCTTAGCGCCGCCATCTTGCCTTTTGTGACGTCAATCAAAAGTTTGTTTCGTGACGTCACTCAAATGTTGTCACTCAAATGTTTCCGAAATTTCTGTTTTAATTTTCCGTTATATTTCAATCACATATTGCTTTCTCAGTAATATACCAGTCAGCTACGGTATATAATTCAACATCAATTGAGCGAAAAATTTGATTTACGGGTAGTTTCACTGAGAAGAAAAAAAAAGCATGTTGTAAAGTTTCGTGGAATAATGGTTAAACGCGTTAGTTTATTACTTTCCGTACTAATACGGTTTTTTTTCCTGTCCATTTTCTCAGCCTCTTTCCCAAGAGTCCAGGGTTTAGCTTTGCCATGTGGTTTGGTTACGCTTTTCCTCAAATGGTAGTGCTTCTTTTTGTTGCATGGATCTGGATTCAGCTACTCTTTCTCAAATTTAAGTAAGTTTTGTGTCTTGAATTTTTACCCTAACGCACAAACATTGCAATGGTCGAAAACCGTAACTACATGATTGATCAATTTTGTCACAGTTGAAGTATCGACACATAAATTTCTATTCTCGTGTGCTCAGTGTAAAGAGAAATAAAGGGCGCTTTTCATTCAACCAGAAATTCCGAATCTTTCGTAACATGGTATGGAATTTCCTTGGAAAGTTTCCGGAAAATCTGAAAATTGTTGAATTTCCGAAACGAGGACCATCCAACAGAAAATTCAGGAATTTTAGAGAGGAAAATCAAATGGAATGAACATTCCTGGTCAAAAATTTCCCAAAATTCGGGTATGCCTCACGAGGTTGCCCTTATTTTCCTGAAATTCAGGAAAATGTTGTTCTAGACAAAAATATCTGAAAATTCAAACCAAACGTTTTTGACGCCTGAAGTCACGAAATGAATTAATTTAGTATTTTTAGCTTCATTTGTGTGCATTTGTTTATTATTGCTTGAGGCTATGTTATAACACTGTTATGCCGCGGTATAAATGATGCTCTCAGCACCCTTACACGGCTGTATCTTTTATCGTTGCATAAAATCCAGCCCAGGCACAACAGACGACGGATTATTTTTTTGAATTCTATTTAGTTTCCGGAAGTGCTTCAACAAGTCAACACTATCACGTCAAAGGGACACTCGGTCGACACAAGCCATTAGACAGGTTTTGGTGACTCAGTACAGAGCTCTTGGACCCATGTCGTAAGATTAACTAACAGATGTCATCTTAAACATTAATTAAATGAATCTTCAATCTGGTAACAATTTATGTTGATATATCAAATTCCTATTTTGTAAGCAAGTAAATCACAGGATACGTTTATAAAGAAAATTAACTTTACAGTTAAAGTTTAAGATTTACTTATAATTTCTTCTCTCGTATTTCCACACAGGTTTGCCGAGAAAGCTGTCCTTGGTCATTTCACCTTGTTGGCCTTGCTGTGGCTCTTCCGTGATCCTAAATTTATGAAAGGATGGGCCATAATATTTGAGGACGGGTATGTTTGTAAAGACAGAGGGGTATAACTGCAACATCAACTGAACTGTGTTTCGTTTGTGTTTCCGATTCCTCAGAAACGTTTTCAAGTTGTGGTCAGCGACCAAAATCAAGGTGAATTAATTCGGCCATGATTTTTAGAGACATTTTGAAGCTAGGATAACCCGAAGCTTCGGTACACATAAAAAAAATACATAACTGAAATTCGAGGGCTGAGCGATTCCTTGGTAAAGTCTCAAAAGGCCCTTTATTTGCACTCATTCCAGCAATTAATTCGTTTAGTTTTCGATGCCATGCTTTAAAATTTTAACTCCAAACGTTCGCTGTTTTACTTTTCAGTTACGTTCGAGACGCCACAGCCGCCATGTTTATTGCGTTCTCCTTGTTCGTGTTTCCTTCAAAAAGGCCGAGAATCTTTGCTCCTGATGGGTCAGGTAAGTTGACAGTAACGAACTTTTAAACGAGTTCTTCACTATTTCTCTCACATGTTTTCTTGGTTCCCAGCGAGCCAACATGAATCTATACAGTATAAGTGCAACATGTGTGTGTTGAGTGAGAAAACTGCCTTTTAGTCCAAGAATTAGCTAATTGGCTTAGGCAAATTCTCAGACTTTGGAATTTAACTGCAGGAAATATCATACAACAAAAAATATTTCCAAAAATGGATGGAAGGAAGCAAGGAATTTTTGTTTCAATTCTACGATAGTCATTAGAAACACTGTTTTAACTAACAGACATTGTTATCGTCACACAGTAAACAAACCACCACCCGGCCTGCTGCAGTTCAAGACCATGTCAAAGAGGTTTCCATGGCACCTTGTTATCTTGCTTGGCAGCGGATTTGCTTTGGCGGAAGCTTGTAAGGTAACGGCAATTTATACAGGTTGACCAGAAGTCCTTACTCTAAAATAGAGATCAGATACAACGAAAGGTCTTTTCCGCGACATGCCCTTCAACAAGAGTTCTTAGCTAAAAATGAAACATCGGGTAGAGTTATTTTCGACCTAAGACCTTTTGCCAAACTACAAACTTTTTTCCGAATCATTTCTGATGTTTAATGAATTGTACTTTCTAGATATTGCTATTTTCTAAGCAGGGGCGGATCTAGGGGAAGGGTGCGGGGGATATGAACCCCTCTGAGATGAAGCCTTCTTCTTCGTATTCGCATTTAAAATTTGTTACCAATACCTCACCAGTCAGTTACGCCATTCCTTAGTGGTGCACACCCTCCCAAGAAAAATCCTGAATCCTCCCCTGAAAGCCGGCCGGTTCACCATTTACGCGCGACAATGCCAATCAACTGTTTTTGTTACTGTAGTAACATGATTTTTGATTCATATTTCATTGACTTTTGGAAAAAGACGGATGCTAAACGCGGAAGATAGGAGACTGAACTAATTAATCTTACTCGCCCGTGCGCCATTTAACTCATCGCTATTCGACCGCTCCTCTAATTCCTTTTCAATAACGTGACGTCACCGTACCTTCTGATTGGTTCATTTACCCTTCAACGTCATCATCTTCTAGCCAACCAGAGAAAAGCATTTACGCAACTGTAACAAACCTTAAAACTCGCAACAAAGAGAAAGCGCAGTAGATATCTCGCACGGAACTCACCAGATATTGAAATATTTTGTTTTCGATTCTCTGACCAGGTGTCCGGTCTGTCCAAGTGGGTTGGTTCACAGCTGGCTAATCTAGACGCCATTCCAAGTTATGCAATCGTTATGAGTGTCTGTATTTTGATCACCACATTCACCGAATTCACCTCCAATGTAGCAACCGCCACCATCTTTCTACCGATATTGGCTTCTCTGGTGAGTATGATGACCATCAAAAATTCAATACTTTTCCTCTAATCATAGCGGAGCT